TTTAAGCCAATAATGAAACAGTATGCCAACTTCAGCTTAAATTACATAAAAGATATAAAACAAAAGTTACTCAAATCAAGCGATCAAGTGCATCCTTCGGCATAAATCAGGTGAATGTTGCAGTAGAGCCGTCAGTTGCGGTCAATTGCATCGAAAATGTATACAATGCCTTCAAATTAATGCCGCACGTTGCATGCTTTAATGCCACAAACGCCATGGCATGTTTTGTATTTATACGGCAAAAGCCGCAATCATTTGCCTTAATGACTTCAGTTACATCTAACTGCGTTTATGTAAACAACTGCACTATCACCGTGCACTACACTCATTGCCAAAACGTTCAATGTATCTCTTAATGTTTATCTTGTCAATTAAAATATTGAACACAAAATCGAAATCGAACGTACGTAATTGATTAAAAACGTATGTCAGTTTAAAATTGTTAGCAAAACATTTTAATAGTAAAAATGTACAAATATTATTTTTCATATTCACAACATCATAATACAACATTATGTGCAAAAAAAGTGCTGCAATTTATCACTCATGTGACACAAACACTTTAATCTATTGTTAACCCAATTAACACAGCCTCGATTCGATACATTGTTTGTGGGATACTTTTTTAACGTGAGAAAAGCTATCACAAAAATAATGGAAAAATGTTAGTTATCTCTATGAAATTTGCGATACTTTATTGTAACTATCCCAACGGTGATATTTTTTTCTAAGGGAAATGATAAGAATGTAAAATATCGATGATGCTATAATCTATTCTAAGAAGAACAATTAAAATATGATACATCGTTGTTACTATAGTTCCTTCTAAGTAAGAGTATACAAATAAATATAGAGTTTCAGATAGAGTTTTTCTTTTTTTAGCAAGATAATAATAGAAAAGCAATACATAAATTTTATAATAAGATTTACAGATCAATTGATAATTAGTTGATAAGTTTCTGAGTTTTTTTGACAAGATAATGTTAGAAGATAATCATTATATCTATCTTTATTGTTCAATTGTTACATTATCTTGAAGTGCCTGCGTGATTCACCATATAACTCTAATAATAAACGCACTTCCCGGCATGCCTATTCGATATAACTAACATAGACATTAAAAAATTTGCAACATAGTGGTTTCTTGTTCGAAAAATGATTTCTTGAAACAGTTTGTCTAATCATATAAAGTGTGGTATTACAATAATCCCACTTTTAGAACCTAAGTAAGTGGGTCTTTCAGGAAAACGATCTACCACTTGTACTCTGTCCTCTCCTATCGATTGTCATTCTCTCTATTCTATGGTATGTATCACAGTAATTTCGCTGTTCAAACCTTAATTAATCTTCCTGCAAGACTATCTGCCACTAACATTCTTCCCTCCCACTTCATTTGTCTTTTTCTACATTATACTCTACTACACTTTCGGAATATAGACGAATACGATACTTCGTATTTTTTATACCTTGATGGTTTCTATCTTCAGCTTAAAGATATTTCCCGGAGTATATAATTTGTGCTTTCAAGAACATATATGTTACTTTGAAAAACAAGCCTTGAATGTTCGTGCTGAAGTTTTTTAAGTTACTTTCTACATACCACAGTGATGTATACAGTTGAGAAGGTATTAGGGAATAGATTTACACCGTCCTTCCGCCCATCTTAATAATGTAAGCTACATATCAGTGTTAACATAATATAATGTACTCCTTAAAAAAATGTATTATAATATATGCCTGAACTAGCGACGCAAAAGAAAACCGTTTTACTAAATAAATATATATCTTTAAATGACATCATTTGTCAATGGGTTTGTAATGTGGTTAAGGATACATTGTAGCCCAAAACAAAACAAATCTATGTGTACGTAAGAAATACTAAAAAAGACGAACCGATATCGTCTGTCTGTTTGTTTAAAATTCGCTGAAGTCTCTTCATTTTGAAACTTATCAAATGCAATAATGCTCAATTTTTTTATATACCTAAATCCTCGTATATCAAATCAAAGAAAAAAATGTTTACCACAAATTTTAATTTAACAAACTTAAATTTAAATATAAGTTATCATCATGTTTTGCTATTATGGTTTTATATATAAAAATAAAAATTTTTGAATCGTATATCTTCATGTCAGCATTGCTGATACTATACCGCAATCCTTTCTTATAATCTATGCTAAGCTTATCATAAATTACCAAAAAAAAAGTGTATAACTTTTTGTACATTTCTATTTTTTTTTTTTTATAAAAATACAGCGCAAAATGTTCAAAAAGAAATAAATTTGCAAAATATACACAAAAAAGTTTTGATTGACCAATCAATTAAAAACGCTCTAAGAGAAGAAAATGTTTTGAATCAACAAAGATACTGCCATCGCAGAAGAAAAAAAGCGTAACTAAATATGAAAGACCACGAAAAATTCTATAGAATCCCACTTCCATTACTGCAAGCACGATGAACTAAGACGAATTTGGCATGTACAATTTTACACTGAAGTGTAATTTAAGAATTACAATGAAGTATAATACACTGTTAAAAATTTACAATTTATTCAAATAAATTGTGCTACATAAAAATATTATCAAGTATAATGAGCAAATAACTTTTGAAGATATTTCAATTAAATATATATCGTTCTATTAAGACATGCATTTATCAGACGTATTAGGTATTAGCACTTAGAATTATCAAATATAAACTGTTTGAGAAGGATTGAACTTTGAACCAAGGACTTGAAGCAATTCGAACAGTAAATCCAATAAATACTGCAGATTTTTCCAGATAAATAGATATGAACTTATTTTAATTATCGGTTGTTTTAACTTGCTACAATAGGTCCATCGACATTTGAAGATCCTATGTAATGTAGAATAAAACTTTCTTATCTACTTATGTCCTGCGATTGCAGGGAAATGGATCCAATATGGATGTTATTGAACTAAATGGGGGATAGGAAATTAAATCAACAGAAATTGGAAGGCTTGTCCATCGTTTTAAGGGTTTAGTTTGTCTGAATCAGCTTAGGAAAATTTCTCCAAGGATAGTGTAATAGATCTCGAAGAATAATATATAAATAAATGTTACTAAAGTAGAATATTAAGGAAAGTTGAGTTCCTGAGAAAGTTCTTAGGATAAATTTATTAAACTTTCTTCAAAAAATAAAATAATAAATAAATTTAAATTCTAGACAAACATTTTACTTACGTTCAGTTACTTGTTATGGTTAAATGGATGATCGAAATCTGCAATCTGCAAAGTAATAATTTATTTTTTTTAGTAAAAGTAGTAGAAATGTTTAAGATATTATTTCCAACTTAAGGTACAATTTAATTAAAATGTTTAAACAAAACATTGTGTAGTGATTTTCTTCTCTCTTATATTTATATTTATATTATATTTATAATGTATCTATATTTATATTCATATTCATATTCATATTTATATATATATTTATATTTATACTTATATTTATATTTATATTCTTATATTCATATTTATATATTTATATTTATTTTTATATTTATATTTGTATTTATATTTGTATTTATATTTATGTTTATATTTATATTTATATTTATATTTGTATTTTTATTTTTATATATTTATATTTATATTTTTATATTTATATATTTATATTTATATATTTATATTATATTTATATTTATATTTATATTTATATTTATATTTATATTTATATTTATACTTATATATATATTTTTAAATATATTTATATTTATAATTATAGTTATGTTTAAAATTATATTTATATTTGTATTTATATTTATAATTATACTTATACTTATATTTATATATATATTTACATATATAATTTTTTTCATCGAAAACATGAACTACTTACATACTTTCGTATCTCTTGCTTAAAGCTGTGCCTCTTTGTAGGTGTTCCTTAATTTGATATCTACTAAATATTTATTGCAGCGATGTATTGATTCACTATAAATAATTCCTATAAGTCTGCTTAAACCCTAATTATGTTGAACACTAATTCTCAACATAAATTCACCTAACTTCGTAAAATTTTTTCCAGTGTACTTTTATGAAAGATAATTCGAACTGCATTTCAAACTTAATTTCAAGTTTGAAGCTTAAGATATTTATTCTCCTTTACAGTTGCTAATAATAATTTTATTGTATTTTATGATTGTTGTTGTATCTATTATTGCTCTTATTGTGGTCTATATATCTAGTGTTGCTCTAGAAAAACTAACCGCAACGACCTTATGTAATTGACCGCAAGCATTAGACTTGGTCTAAAGGTGTTTGCCTTCTTGGGAAAATAATCGTCAAATTAGCTTCGAAAAAATTTATTGAAAAAAAAAATTGTAGAAAAATATTTAAATATAGACATTATTACAATTTTTTTATATATGTAAATATACGCTGTAATTTCAAAGGTACTATAGTGTTGCGAATTTGATCAAAGTTTTGACCCATTTACTGGCAAGTTTAACTCTTATAATATAAAAATTTAAACACGTACTAATACAATATAATAAAAGGAAAAAATTATTTTAAAATATGTGAGATAAACAAAGTATACGTTACGCCTAAAATTGTTAATTCAAATTTATAGTTCAGGTGTGAAAATTGTACACTTGGAAATTTTTAAATGTGTTTAAATTATACACAAATGCTTAAAGTATCAAATAGTTTTCCATATTTAAAATAAAAAAATAGTAAAATAAAATATGAACTGCAATCAACAAAAAATTGTATTCATAATAAAAAAAAATTCCAAAACTGCAGTAGCTTATATAACTAATAAACAACGTACGCCCGCCAAAAAAAAGTCACTCACAAAAATATTCACCCGTGATATGTACCTACCTACCACATCACAAATTCGATACTCTAAGTTAAAAAATAAAAACT